ACTGTCATACTTTTTAAAAAAAGAGGGGGCATCTAAAGACAATTTGAGCCTCATCCACTTGCCACACTAACTGTAAACAATCACAATCATCTCCTGGCTTTGCCATGTGTTGCTTAATTTGTGTCCTCTTGGAGTCCCACACATACAAAGGAAACGTGACCTCAACATTTTTCTCTTTAGAGCATCACTGACGTAAATGGGGATTCCCAATTCTGCTAAAGAAAAAAATCAACCTAGCTTAAAAAAAAAAAAAAATCAAATCATCTTCCCCTTGCATTTGTATTAAATATTATCAAACAAAAATATTCAGGGCAGAAATTCACAGAGTGACTGTACACTAGAAAAACACCCTGGCCTTTTCCTTCATCACAGATAATTAAGATAGAAGGGCAAGAAATGTTTTGCCACTAACTCGTGTTTCACATTTCTCAAAACAAAAAGAATGTGCCTGATTTACACACAAATTAGACCACAAATTATTATATAAACATGAATAAAACAGCAATGCAACTTCAGTGGATTTGAGAGTAGAATCAGGTTCCTTGTGGCTGTATTCATAGGCACTACTTGTTCAGTCTTCACTAAACAGTGAAAAATGCTGTCTTAAATACATAAAATTATCTATGCATGTTGGAATTGGGGTTGGATTCTCTAGATGTTTACAAGGCAGATACATGTATTTGTGCCAGTCTCTTGTGAATGCCCATCAGCAGTAGCTGCCCGGGGGACACACAAGCTCAGCACTCCTATGGAAGTATCCTTAAGATACTTCAAATCCTGTTCTGCCTCCAAACCCTCTAGGGAGAGATACAGCTGGGGTTCCTCCTCTCTGGATAGGCTGAGGTCTTGGTTAACTTTCCTAAGGTGAGAGATGGTATCAGTCCCAGTGCAGTTAGAAACAAGGATTCCTGAACTTCATCAGCTCTGGCTTTTGCTCTCTGCCTTAATAGCCTGCTGCTTGTGTCTCAAAATCAGCTCTTCAAGGGTATGTTACTGCATGCCTGGGTGTGCAAACAGCCCTACACGTGGCATGTCAGGAAATGCCAGAAAATCTCAGGGAAGGGAGGCCTAAATAATTTCCTGGATTAGAAATTTACTCTCCTATTAATTTACTTGGTTGGGAATGATTAGTTGAGTGCATTCAGTTAGTCTATTTCTACTAAAAAAAAAAAAGTCTTGCTATCCTTTCCATAAAGGCCTTGGTGGTCATTCTAGGATAAAACTGTCACTTTTCAAGTGTATTATCCTGGCAACACTACAGTTCATTTTGACATGAGCAGCACAGTTTCATTCTGAACTCCCACATCAATGAAAATCCAGCACAGTCATTATCTACCTTCCACATGAAGGGGTTTAGCTGGGGGATACTGAGGTGAGGATCCCGAGCTTGATTTTCTTGTTATCTGACTTGAGACTGTGGTGACCCAGTCACCACCTGAAATATTGGTGGAGGTCCCTGTCCCCCCCCAGAGCACCCCAGATGTGCTGCTGCCCAGCATGGAGCACCCAACCTGCCCCTGGCTGCTGGAGGCTCTCTCCCTGTTTGCTGAATACCATATAAAGTGCTCAGGCTGTGCCGAGGCTGTTTTGTGCCATTTCCTATTATGGTCAGGAAAGGGAAATCCCTGTGCCCAGAGCCAAGGCTCCAGGATGCCATTGCACAGCCTTGCTCTGCAGTGGTTCCTCTGGGAGGCAGCCTGAGCCACCCTTGGACACGGCCCTGAGACTGAGGCACTGCAGCAGCTGCACACCACAAAGCTCTCGTTCACACAAGATGGCAATAAAATAAAACAATAATAAAAAAAAATTAAACCCCACTTCTGCCTATGTCAGAAAGAGCATAGTTTCATTATTTATTTTTTTTTTAAACTAAAATTCATAGGCCAGTTTAAATACCACAATACTCCTGCAATTATGGACTCGTAACTTGGTAGAGGTTTTTTATTATTATTAGGGGGGCGGTTAGATTTTCTTTCTAAATTAAATACATGCTAAAATTTCTTACTTACAGTAACTGTTCATGAAACATGGTTCATCATCTATTATCATATGCTATTATTTTGGCTCCAGTTCAATAGCTGGAGCATTTAGAAATAATGGAAAATTGAAAATAAAAAAAACCAACTAACAAAACCTGGATGAACACCTATCAGCTGGTAGCCAACATTCTTGTTTGTTTATATAGATATTTTTATATTAATCCTTTCATTAAACTGTAAACAAACCACATTTTTCCCTAAATTTCTTGCAGAAATAGTTATGTAGTCAAAGCACGATTGTTCTGTTAAGACATCTATTTGGAACTTGAGTAATTTTTTTCAAGGACTCTCATCAATCATCATTGTTATGTGGTGTTCATAGAAGCTTTTTTTAAATAAACCCTTCTTCTAACATCAATCCAAGCTTCTTATCTAGGATTTCAGTTTACAAAATTTGATGCCTACCTGAGCAGAGGACATACTCTGATATGAAAATACACATAAAAAGAAATATGAATTATTACAGTTGTTACCTCACCACAGATGAGGGTATGGATTATGTATTGAAAATAACTGAAGTTAAGAATATCAGGTCACGGTGTTCCTACAGATTGCTAAATTCACATAATTTCTAGCAGCTTGCTTATTAGAAATAATTATTTCTGCGCTTGGAAACCACCCATACACACACACATTCAACAAAATCTCTGCTTCATTTGTTACACTGGGCAGAATACAAAATAGTGCCACTTGCTAAAACCCCGTTAATTTAATGCAGCTGATGCCTGTGTTTCCCAGACTAGACATGGCACGTGATATTAAGCCCGAGTTTTATTTGAATTTCCTTGCAGACTTATTCAGGTCTCTTCTGCGTTGTGATAAACCCGTACAAACAGCTGCCCATCTACTCAGAGAAGATCATCGACATGTACAAGGGCAAGAAGAGGCACGAGATGCCCCCTCACATCTACGCCATCGCCGACACGGCCTACAGGAGCATGCTGCAAGGTAGGGCACCTCCTCCCTGCACCGCCTGGGAACCCCTGCCCACGGGGGAAAACACCTCGGAGCTCCACGTGTGCTCCTGCAGGCAGCACAGCCGGGAAAGATCTGGTACAGAGGGCCACACGGGCTTTCTAGAAGTTTCAGAGGAATTCTTTGGCAGGAACGGCAGTCCACAAACACTGTGACTCAAAAAGGAAAAACAATCCTTTTACCCATCTGTGTCGAGGCATGTGGGAAGGTTTCAAAGTCAAGCAAATAGTTTTGGCAAATACGGGCATGGAAAATGCTCCCTCTCCACCAGTGGAGACTATTCCAAAGTTAGCTGCTAGTGCTGCTGGATCCTCTCTCTCTCTCCCCTCTAGCAAAGCAAATTCAAGTAATGTTTTGGGGCTACTTTCCTTACAGCCTGATGTCTGGAGCCCTGAGTTGAGATGTGCTCTGTTTTCTGAGGATGATGGCAATGAGCAGTGGGAAAGCAGTCAGGCCCCAAATGGTGCAAACAAGTTCAAAGTTCACAGTGCTCTCCTCCTCCTGCAGTCACTACGGACAGAATGAGGGGATTTTGTACTAAGGAAAAATCATACTTTAGGGATGAAAAAGTTATAGTGATGAAAAAGTTATAGTGGTGAATGTACGCAACACCTAGAGACTACAGGGGCATGACCTGTTGCCATCTCACAGCGACTTTGGGTGCTGCAGGAAAACAGGACCTCCACAAAATGCTTTGAAATTTAGATGTCCTCATAAGGCCCCTGACCCTGCAGAAATTCTGGCTGCCAACTATGGCTCAGCAAGATTCACAGGCTTGGCCCTAAAGTTTAGGGCTTCCCGGTTTGGAGCTTAAGGATTTAAGGGTTTAAGGCTTTAAGGGTTTTAGATCTGACTGGTGAAAACAATAAACAGCACCTCAAATTTTCAGTTTAGCAGCTGGATTAGTAGCCAGTATTGATTTTTCAGTAATATTTATACACATACACAGAACAGCGATTGTTTCAGAGAAACTAATCCGTTCAAATCCCCTGTGCACTTTATCTGACTATGCAAATGAAATTACACAGTAGTTCTCTGGGCACACAGCACCTTGTAATCACAAGGATTGCAGTACCCCTGTAGTTATCTCACTTGAAATGTGTACCTGATGAATTTACTAGAGGTTCCAAGTAGTTAGTTTGGCATATCATACTGAACTGCCATTTTCTAAACCAAGATTTAGACTACACAAATCCTTTCCCCACAATGAAAAAAAAATCATCTTCTGTGTGTGTGCCAGGCCATCAGATTCTCACAAGTACAATTGCCTGATCCTATGCAGACCTCTACTGCCTGAAAATACCAACCAAAGCCTTGTAATTTAGCAAAAGATGAGTATACATACATAAATATATTTATTTATTTATTCACACACACATATAAATACACACACTAGAGGTGACTGATTTCAGAGGCACCAAAACAAGTCTTTTCCCCTACAAAAATCCTCTCATGTGTACTAACCGTAACGCTAACAAAATAATGCAGGTAACAAAATCCTTAGAACTTCTGAAGATTTAACTCCTGAAGATTATTTACTTATTTGATTACTTAATTATAACTTAGGTTCCTGACTTCAGAATCTTACATTTTCAGATATGAGAGTCCTTAAAATATAGCTAGTTCAACTCCAAACCCAGAGAACCAGGTATCTGCTTTACAATATCAACCTTTTTTCCTTTCTATGGTTTATATGGCATTTCTTTTCTGGAGCTATTTCAATTCCTATATTTAAGTGCATCCCAGAAGGCAGAGCTACAGTGCAGCAGAGGAGGATCAATAAAGCAACAAAAAAATATCCTGAAAATAGACCTTCCTACATACTGTGTGATATAATCACAGTTACAAAAAACTTACTTGGCATAAGCTCGTCCCGTTAAGCCGCAGTGATCTGTGCTCCAGCTCACCTCTGGAACTCTGTGCTCTGCATCCAGCACTGCCAGGGCTCTGAGCAGGCCCTGAAGCCAGGGCAGCCTTTCCTCAGATCCTTTATTTAAGCAGCAAGCCTTGAGGGGAGATCTTCAAGCAGCTTCTGGCTCCTACAGATCATCAGCAGTGTTCTCATTCAGCTGTGCAGGCTACTGCAACTTGAACCTAGAAATGGGATGGGGAAAACAGCTGGGAAAGGGCTACAAAATTTCTGTAGGAAACGAAAAAGAAAAAACCTAATACAGCCTATGCTAAACAGTTGTTTCGGCCTGCCAGTGCATGAGTTTTCTGCCTAACATGGAACTAGCATCAGCATAGATCAACCCAGCAGCATAAGAACCTCAGTCACTCTTCCTGTCTCCTGTCCCTCTAACATGCTCTCCCAAGCAGCCACTGGAGCTGCCTTGCCCTGTGCTATGGCAATTAACTGCACCTAGAACAGCCTGGGTTCAGCTGTGCCTCCTAGGCTGGGTGCAGGACAGTGGAGATAGGAAGAGTGCATGTTTCTATCTATTCACTTTTTTTGTGCTTAAGATAATTTCCTGGCACTACTGACTCTTGGGGAAGCTTTACTCCCCGTTATTCATGTGCCCCCTTTGCAAGGAATTCTTCCTGAGAGCAGAGAAGAGGGGGAGAGCAAGCAGAAGGAAAGGAGGAAGGAATAAATGATCAGTTAACCTTGAAAAGACTGCTCTTCCACCACCTCCCATCCTGACCACGCACAGCTGGCACTGCAGCCAGAGCCGTCCCACAAGAGCTCCCATCACAAGCAGAGGACACCCACGCTTTACTTGCACATGCCATTTTGGAGCCTTTCCATCTCTGAAGAGGGCCCCAGCTGGTTTTAAAGCTGTGCTTTTGTTTGTAAAAAACCTACTCATGCTTTGTGCATAAAACTAACCCAAACCTCAAAATAACTCCAGTTATTCAGCCAAATTATATTCACCCTGGAGTGGTGAAAGGGGGCGTCACCGTGATTCTGTGTGTGCACGCAACACGGACAGGCACAGACAGCTTCAGGGGGGTTTGTAGGCATATTTGCAAATGGAATATAAACAAAAGTCCTTACTCATAAACATGGATCAGGGCACTAAATGTTTTCCTTGTGAGAATTCAGTACTGCTCCTTATCTGGAAACTTGCATAGTTTCTGCTTGCCAAAATAAAATATGTCTTAGATTCATGCGACCAAAGAATTATATTCTGGTACTTCATGGCCAAGGCCACTTGGCCCAGAGCAATCAGCTTGTTCAGATGTCTTGGGGAACCTTTATCTTTTGGTGAATCAAGCCTCCATGTCTGCAGATTGCCTCCTACTGCAGGCTCATCATCTGGGAATCACAGCCCTTCACATTCTCACCCTCTCCTCTGTTGGCACAAACATCCAGCAAAAAACATGAGCTGTGCACACTGCATTCCTCTTGTGCTTCAGAGACTTACTTGGTTAATGTATTCATTAGGGATGATGCCAAAGTCCCATCAAAGTTGTTCTGATAAAAACACTTAGCCATGGTTACCAGCAATCAGATAATCTGACTTTCTTCCAAATATGCAGAAAAGCTGACATCTCACAGGACACAGGAATTATCAAAGATGTTGGCTGGGCAAAGATAAAATTTCCACTTGTTTCAAGTGGTTCTGAGCACCTAAAACCCTTTTACAAATCACAGTCATGCTGTCTCATGCTCAGCTGGGGGTACTGGATGTCTTGTTGAATCTACTGATTACCACATCACTAATGCAGTATGATCATTGCCCAGGCACAGCCACTGGGGCTCATTTCCAGCCAGAAGAATAAACTTTAATGTTCTTAAAGACTAAGTGAATATAACATTCTGCAAGAGTATTTTGTGTGTGTGTCCCCAGGAATTACCACACTGAACTGGGCCCCAGTGACTGTCTTTACAGACAAGCTTAGCTGAGTAGTGCTACACTTAGAGACTGCAGTCATAAAACATTACCCAATGCTCCTGCACCCACCTCTCTCTCCTGTGTTTTGGATGAAGTAGCTCCCCAGTGGGAGGAGTAACTCTGCTGCCTTCTGTCATCTTCCCTGCATGCAGAAAACAAAAAATGATAGACAATATCAACATGAAAAGTCAGGTTATGCAGCAGTACTAACAGATATAAAGTTTTCATGCAGTTGATTAGTCTTTTATTAAGTTCTCTGGCAATAAATCATCATGGAGAAGATATATTAGAGCTTTCTGGAGATCCAAGAAGATTATTTTCTGCAGAGCCATTTTTATGCAAGCCTGAGTTAAAGATGGAAAAACAAACAACCTGGTATTTATTTGGAGGTATGGGAGGGAAACACAGTTCCCAAGATCTTAGAAAAGGAGGCTGCTGTGAAAAGCCATCTGTTTACTGTGTCCTTAGCAGGACTGTACAGAAATGTCCCCTTTAGGCAGTGGAGTTATTAACAAATGTAAAGGAGCAGTAAGTGAGTGGTGGAACATGGGTTCAGTCTGGTTTTTTTCCTTTTATGGTAAAGCTGCCAACTTGCTGCTTCATTGTGATAAACCATCTGATTTTGTTGGTGATTAAGCAGAGCTAACTGGTCTATCAAGAACAGAGGGCAAGGATTCTTACAAGGATTCTATCTGGAGGTGTTTGGTGAAAAAGCTAAGCAGATTCCAGAAAGAAAAAAAAAAGTCTGCTGCATGTTTAGGAAAGATGCTGAGGTTTATAATGTAAATGTAGATATCTATGCTATTAATAATTGAGAAGAAAATAAAAAAATGTCTGACACATCTAATATAGACATACAGAAGGTGGATATGATACTCTTCCAGGTGGTGTCAAATTTTCTTAAGAGGCATTAACCAAAAAGATTAAAATCTAGAAAGTGTTTTGTTACTTCTTAAGCCCCAGGAATTATGTCTAAGGAGTTTTATTCATGCAAGTCCTTCTCTTCTGATAGATCTAACCACATAAAGTTGCAGATTCACAAAATAGGGCACAGACCTTTCTATATATAGAATAAAATATTCCTGAGCAGGAATAGGACTAATCAAATGGGAGAGCCTTTGAAAGTAAAAGAGACCAGTATCTGCAGCTCAAGTCATTAAAGAAGAGGATTAGTTTCCCTGATACATTTCATCCTTAGCATTGCAATTAGTTAGAACTGTTGAAGGAGATACAAGAACATCTGGAATTCTCCCTCCATGAGTGTGTACAGAACAGTTTGTCAGCAGGAGGTCTCTCCCATGATTAACCTGTCCCAGAGGGCATTTGGTGCAACTTCTGACCTTCCCAAACCTTCTGCTCTTACATGTCCCAAAGCTGCCCCCACACACACCCTCATGTAGCCCCCTGTGGTGGGCCAGTTTATGACACCTCCAGCAGGGGATTCACTTACTGGGAAGCAAAAGAAGGGCAGCAATGGGCAGCAAAGAGTAGTGAGAAAATACTTGGCTTAGAGGAGACCAACTTTTTCTAATGTCCCCTGAGCTCAGAAATTCCTGGCAAGTCTGTGTCAAGGAATCACTTTTATTTTCTTTATGATATTTATGACTTTGTGATGCAATATCAATATATGCCCATGGTTTCTATTTACACAACAGTGTATTTTTAGCGAAAATTCTACTGTGTTCTCACTTTTTTTTAACTTAAAAGAAAGCCTAGTTCATATCCTGCAGCGAAAAACAAACATACAACAAACACAGCTCTTCTCCTCCCAAGTGTTTATGTGGAAGAGTCCAGCTGTGCTGATTGCTGACAAATATCTCCAACAGAAGTGTAATGAGTAATTTTGTACCAATTTACCGAATAAAGCAGTTAAGTGGCACCATTTGTTGTGTGCATGATCAATAAAGCAGTTAATGTTAGAGCTGTTGAGGAACTGGGAGTAAAACAGTTGTTTCATATCAATCCAAGCCAGAGCAGAATCCTCTACAGCTTTTCCAAGGCTGGCTGTGGGCCAGGCAGCACTTGCAGCTTGCAAGCTTAATAGGTTTATCTCATGGTATTTATGACATACAGGGTCAGCCACAGGGGAAGCAATCAGACAGGTAGTCCTGCAAGTCACCCCACACACTGAACAAAAGGAGGAAGGAGTTCATGTCTGTAACCTCTGACCAGAGGCTCCATTGGGCTAACGCTGGCTCTGCATTTGATAGATAATGCCAAACCATACAGAAGTAACTGGCTTCAGCCTTAATTATCTGTCTCAAGCCTCAGATTTGTAGCTACACACACTTTTCAAAAACGTATTTGACCTGCCTGGGAGTTTATTTTCCTAAGTCAGAAGATTTTTCTACAGTCTGTAGAGGCAGAGTGTGACAGTCTCAGCCAAAGAAGGGCCAACTTCAGCACTGGGGCTGGTTGCTAAGAGCCTTGTTCAAGTCTACTTCCAAGCAGCCCCAAGGGTGGAGATACCACACCTCTCTGGGAAACTTGTCCTGATGTTTGACAAGTGAAAAAAATTATTCTACTTCAGAATGGATCACAGCAAACATGTTAGTCCTGCCTTTTGGTAGAGAATTCAGTGTAAAAGTTCTGAAGGTAGGCAGAAACTCCAACTCCAAAAGGATAAGCAGAGAGAATTGCTCCAAGAACAGGTTGTGGAGGTAGGATGTAATCCTAAACCTTCCTGCAGCATTACAGCCCACTGGACTTTGGTGTGCAGAAACCTTCTACATGCCTCACATAGTGGAAATGGAGACTTTGGTCCTCCTTTTCATAAATCTTGATCCAAAATGTGTTTGATGGTCCTGTTCATAGTAAAAAGCATGAAGAATACTTATGTGCTTGTTGAAATGACCTTGTAAAATCTATGAAGTATCTTGTTTTATCTTATACTTTGGAGGATATCTCAAAGAAATTACTTGTCCTCCTGACAAAAGTTGTCTCTCAGTCTGAAATGAAATAGAGAGTATATTATTCAGGTATTTGAACTTCTCTGCTTTCAAAATTCAAAGCTTTGCATGACAGGCTTAAAACATTTTAGTCGTTCATGCCTTATCTGTCCAGACTTTGTTTCAAGTCAGCTGCTAGCCATAATTCATAAGCATAGTAAAAGCTTGAGTTTCAGGTTTGAAATTTTGTTATAATCTTCTTATAGAGAGCCTGATGTTTTGCTGTCCTCATTACAGTTCATCTCTAATGGAATTTACAAAAATTTTTTTTGACCTCTTAACCTTTTGTTCATTTTTTGTGCAAAATATTTCCATTAGAGATGGTTATTTAAATGCAAGGGCAAATTAAGTAAGATGTTAACCCAGTACTTTTGACTAATTGTGGTCAGCCACATTTTAGGTCTAGGCTGTTCAATGTAAATCCTTATAAATATAAGTGCTCCTGTCAGAAAAGCCATTTTCCCTAATTAATGGATTATTTCTCTTTATTCACAGATCGAGAAGACCAGTCTATCCTGTGCACGTAAGTAAACCAATCTATTTTAGTGTATCTCAGTGTTACAATGTCTTTCTTTATTCAAACTTGATTCAGATTCTGATGGAACAGATATATTCTCCTCACCTTTAGTAAGCTTGAACTCCAGTCCCAAATCTGCTTCAGTAGATAGACCTGCTCATAAAATAAAAACACAGCTATCAGTGTTATGGAAGTCTTTAATGCACATTATTTCTTTAAACTGACTTTTTAAAATTAGAGATTAAGAGTTTACAATGAAGAGTTGGGGAGTGTGGCTGTAAAACTGTGTGAGTAGAGAGCATAAGGGATTTCAAAAGATTCCTAGAGGAAGGTGAGGAGCTGAGAGAGAGAACTGAGGAACATGGAGCATCCTGGATATTTTGAACTGCCTTTCATTTTCAGCTGTTGGTGACTCACCACAACTCCCTAATTCATTGCAGAAAAGTGTGACCTTTCACGTTCCTGCTGGTCTGTGATGTTTGCCTGCTCTGTGGCTCGCCCAGGGCTGGCTCAGGGCTGTGTTGCTGAGAGGGCTCAGCAGCACTCCATGGGCTCTGCGTGATCACTTTGGGCAACAGTGAAGGACCAACTCAGCCCTGCTTTGAACTCTCTGACTTTTCTGTGTCCTGGCTCCTTGAGCTTTGAGCTGCCAGTCCTCAGACAGCACTAGCACGGGAAGTTCAGTTGCTGTACTATGGGTCAGGCAGGGATTTTATTGCAACAAGCTTTGCTGTGCACAACTTATTACTCCACAAAATCCCACTGTTTTGTCATTCCTGCCTATTTTGAAAAATCACTCAAACTCTTGAACTGGACAGGGATCTCCTACTTGACCTTCAGTTTTGACCATTTCTCCATTTCTCTCTTGCTAGTTAGTTGGTTTTATTTGCTTGAATGCCATCAAGGATGTTTTTGACATAATTTTGTGTTTGTTAAGTTAGGCATTTTCCAGTCTTCCGGATCAAAAGTAGGATTTGATTCTATGTAAATGCTAATTATTGTTTGCAGAAGATGGCATGTGTATTATTTATAGCAGGTTTATGCAATTATGCTGTAATCTGTCATGTATTGTAAATACAAACTGAACTGGTTTTAGGTTATCTGAGAAAATGTGGTTACTGAATGACTGAATATATATTTACACTACAGTTTTTAAAAAGCACTGCTACTGATCACCAGCCATACCATTATTTGTTGACCGGAAAAGGATTATCACCTAAGAAAAAGTAATAATTATTCACTGTGTCTGGTACCATAAGGGTAGCATAGCTCTAACCTCTGTTATAACAAGACTTCAGTATATGTAAGTATATCAATCAAAAATCTGTCCCAAAATGCATCAATACCAAAAAGAAATTTAAAATCACTGCAATGATGAAGTAAAAATTGACTATCACATTCTTCCCAGGATGAAACATGTCATGGTTATGAAGACGAATGTACAGTATGCATTTCCTCCTTCTATTTATGTACTTTAGTTTATTTTTCCACTATTAAAACTTTGGAATATTAGTACTTCCAAGAAAGGGACTTTCTTTTGCAAATCTCTGCCTTCTTGTTCATGAAAATCCATTTCAGGATCCTCTTCTGGCAGCTAATGTGCATTTAAAATACTTTTTTTTTTTTTCACTTGGCCAGCTTGCTGGAAACACAAGGTGCTTCACACCAGTAATACATAAAATTGAGAGAATGAAATGTCTTTCCCATTTTGAAAACAGCCACAGTAAATGATTCACCAACATGTTTAGAATAGTTGCTGTATGTTGGATGAACATCATGACCCATAGCTTAAAACAGTCCTTACACATGTCTTTTAAATCAAAAAGTTTAGTCAGGTTAAAACCCATGTACACAACTTTAACCACTGCTGATTTAACATTCTTGTTGGCCTTATTTGGCTGTACAGAAAGAAGAAAGTTCACTTGGCTTTCAGCTTGGCAGCTCTCAAGTTGAAGCAATTTGTATTATTATGTAGAATCGCTAAAATTTCTAAGAAATTATTTTTGCCTAAAATATGTAACAATAACTGAAGACTTCATGGCACTGATCTGCCAGGATCTTTTCTTTAAGTAGCTACAGACTTGGCCTTCCCAAAGCCTGGTACCTGGACTGTAATACCTGTAACTGTAAGGATTCTTGTGAGTCACCTGAAATGATGCTGGGACATGGGCAGGGGGGTAGATCTGAGAACTGAGATTCCATGTTTCTGACTATAAATACACCCATTCTCAGGACTTCACCCTCAGCTCATTGAACCTGCCCTCGTGTGGTTAAGTACTGTTTGTATTCTTCTTCAATCCCTACCCTTTGTGTGATTAAACACTGTATGTTTAAAATCTCCCTCTGTCTTTAACTCTCATGGGTTCCAATGCTCCCTCAGAATTCCCTGTCTTCCCAGACTTTATTTCCTCTACATTTTATTAATAACTACACATATACTGCCTTTGGTCTAATGTCTTCTGTGCACACATCTTTTCTCTGTTAGCTCTTCCCCATGGGCAGCATCACTGAACATCCTCTCATGTCACTCTCTGCCAGTTGCTCTCACTTTACAGTCAGACTTAAAATCCCACATCTTATCATGCACATTTACAACATAAAAAACTTTATACCATGGCTGTGCTTACTAATATATATGTAGCTGCATTATCGTAACATAACATAACATATGTAATAAATACACAATATTGCACAGAGGGCATAAAATAAGAAATCTTATTCTTTTAGGTACCTGAAAATTAGGGCAGGTAAGACATCTCTGTCCTTGTGTTTTGGTCCCTGTAGTGTTCTGAGCAGCCTTCACAGCTCTGCCTGGCTGTTGGGATTTCCTGACATTTCTGCCTGTGCGTGGGCCTCCCCACTGTGGTCTCTCTTGTATGACATTTGAGTTGGCCATGAAATAGTCTGTATTCACTCCTGGTCTGTGTTGATCAGCATTAGATGTTGCTGAAGGAAAAATCCCAAGAAATCTGTCCAGGTGCTCAGAAACCTGAGCAACCTCAGCAACCAGAGCATCAGCAGTTAAGGGTGAATTGAACTGGGCAATGGCCAGTGAACAGACTTGTGACTTTTCAAGCTTCTTCCAATTTAAGTAGAAGCATGAGCCCTCAAAGGAGACTTTTGGCCTTTGTTGTTTGATTTCTAAAGACACAAATGGATTCTCCTGGAGTTTTCAAAAGGTTTTTTACCAAAAATCCCACAAGTGCTTATTTGCATAGCTAACCACATGAGAGTTTTAACAATCTCCTCATAAACCTGTCTGATCTTGGGTTTATCATATTTTAGCCACTTCCTGGAAAGAGCAGGTGGTGTGTTTTCTAGAAAGCAAATGTGGCAAAGAGGACTGTGCACAAGTTTCAGTTAAACAAAAAACTACCGTAAATGAATGAGGACAGAATCTGATCAAAATCCTGAATGTTTCGGGTATTGTGGAGTCGTGGAAACAAATGCTTGTTAAACGCTTGATTTTTACATACAATCAAATACCTTTTCATTACCTTTTAGTTCTTTAAAACACGCATTTAGTTTGAATAGCTTCTATAAAAACAGGGAAGTAGCAGGGTGCTACTTCCACTTCATTTGATATGGTAACTACATAAGGCAAAACAGTGGGTGAGGCAGGGACCATCCTGCCCTTTTCCCCTCCTTCCCCTCTGTCTCTTGGGGTGAACTCCCCAGAGCCTCACCCGGACACGGGTCTCCAGCCCACTTTCTGCCCCGACACGCATCAAGAAGCAAAGTCGTCCAGAACATCTCCAAACTGCAAAGCCCTGTTAGCCCACAGACTCCTCCAGGAGAGAGCGGAACTCTCTCCTCTCCCAGCTCAGTAAATCCCGCAGGCCGGGGCTGGCCGGCGCTGCTCCCGCCCGCTCTCCCGCACAGACAGCTCGGGGAGCTGCGGCCCCGGGCGGAGCTCGGTGCTGGACGCGCTCCGGCCCTTCGGGGAGTTGTTTTGCAAGTAAACTTGTAGGATCAGTGCGCTGGCTGGCTCTCTAGCGGGGTACAGCTGGCCTAGGACAAAGATTTTCATTATCTCTGCACATCTCGCACTGCAGGACGGAGCCTGCCAAGCCCTAATGGGATTTAGAGCCCCTCGTTGGCTGCTCTGTGCACAGAGGCTTCCCACAGTGCCAGCACAGCCGGATTAAGAGATGTGTGAACGGGCAATTTTTGTGGTTCATTGCTTACTGAAACAAATGCTGGAAAATAAATTCTGCTGTTACTTTCTAGATGTTTCAAAAAGTGGAATTAAGCTAGGTCTCATATCATAATATTAACATAGAAAGCTTTCAGATTTTCAACAGCAACAAAATCTCCACTTTTAAAACCAATTTTTCCCAGTTATTCTCAAATGTACAAGAGTCTTAGTTACACCACAGGCTCAACCCACAACAGTGGGGCCAACCTGCTAGTCTCACCTTGTCCTAATTTGGAAACCTATTCTAGCTGAGATGATTTTCATTTAAGGTGAAGG